CTGACGTATGATAAGAATAGTAATTCTATGAAATTATGAAGAGACAGCTTTCATGAGAATATGTTCGGAGCTCACGGCGGAACACATTCAGGAAAGTCCAGGTTGCGAAGTACGAAAGCTCCCCATAACCCAATTGCGTCAGTGCATCCCTAAAAGCCAGATCTCTGCCTAATCCTACAAAACAGTACAATATTCCGAGTAATATCACTCAGCCGGAGATTTGGTTCCAATTTCACACTGAATTGAATATGCTCCAGATGACATAATACTGGCTCATCATAACCGCGGTAGCGTTCTCATGCATTTTCAAAAAAGACACCGATCAAGCAATCCATCTGGGGGCAAGCAAAGACCAATCGCTTCCGCTAAATCCAGTAACTACTGAAAACTTCATGTCCAGAAAAATTTTTAGAGGAACGAGCAGTGATTGGTCGGATGAAGTTCAGCAATAATGGGTTTGTAATGCTTTTAGCTTTAAAGGCGTATTATAATTAAATATTATATTATAATTAAGTATTCCTCGTATTATAATTAAGTATTCCACTTTCAGAAAATGAACTCACGAGTAATCCTCGTTAACATCCGAAACTTTCCAAAAATCTGGATTATACTTCAGCCTTTTAAATTCATCAGCAACTGAACACTCACAGTCACCCGTATCAACGTCCATTTTTAGCCATTCCGGAATTTTTTCCTGAAACAAAAAACGCATGGAAATCTCCCAAATTACACGTCTAAAAACAAAAACAAAAACGATGATTCTTCAAGCCCTGAACAGATCTCGATCGGTACAGTTTCGACCTCAAAATTTCCCTCTCGCTTTTTCGTGGCACATCCTACTACTGTCTTTTTTCGACTTTCGCTAATATTGTTCCAAAAAATCGTTGAAAAATTCCTAGAAACATTTCGCATTAAAAAAACCTTGGCGGCCTTTGCAAATTGCCATGCGAAAACATCGTTTGTGGGAATGGAACAAGTCGATTTTCGCAACCTTCGGTGCAATTCCACCTGCACCTCGCTGGCACATCGTAACCTTAAAAAGCCAAAAATTAAGAACAAATCGCTGAATGACTATGTGGGGGTTATTCGCAACACTACAGTCCCCAGTCGACCCAATAGTTTTCAGTTCTTTTCCGCCGCTATATAGCTCCAGAGCTTATGAGATACTAAGAAGTCAGTAAAGGGTGAAAAAGCACCCTTCTCCCCTCCCCCTCTTCCCAAATGTCTAAGCTACTTGAGAACAAATCGCTGAATGACTGTGTGAGGGTAATCTGCGACACCATAGTCCCCAGCCGACCCAATAATTTTCAGTCCTTTCCTGCTTCTACATAGTTCCGGAGCTTATAAGAAGCTGGCGAAGTCAATAAAAGGCGAAAACGTGCCTTCCCTGCCCCCTTTCCCCGCCAACCCCACACCCTCCCCCCTCCCAAGCGTCTAAGTTACTTTAAAAAGTATGCCCGTAGTTGACACAGAAAATCAGAAATCTTTAAAGTGGAAATTTAAAAAAATCGAAACTCGAACGGGGAACCGATGATGAATTTCGAAGTTAAGGATCCCGCCAGAGCGGTAAAATCTAAGCTATACCGACTCCCTGTCATGGCTCAACAGCACTATTTTACTGCCACGAAAAAAAAAAATAAAACCACTCAACCAGTTCCAGTAAAAAGCGCAGTAGCCCATGTGGTACCACAAAATAATGAATATGTTTGTTATACCTGTAAACTCGGCCATATTTGCATATAATCTGAATGCCATATTGCTCCGCGGACCAAAACTCGACTGAATCGACGCTTAGCAAGGGAATACTTGCAACGGCATTTTTCACCCGATCAAGGATCACGATGCGGTAGTTGGTGACGTAGACAGATCCGGAACCTGTGTCTGTGGTCGAGTCTAGCTCTTCGCCCGGCAATGCATTAACTGGCAATGCCTCGGACACATCGGCCTGAAAAACCGTGACATCGGGATACCTCCTCTAGCAACATGAAAATTTTGAAGGCTCCAAAAATGAAGCGTTCGCAGCTTGGATGAACCATGCTCTTACGCGCCAATCTATTCCTTCCCTGATGCCTCTTTTTCCAAACGAACAAAACTGCTGGAGCTGTATTTTAAGCTCAAAAAATTCCTTGGACCAATGCCAAAGAGTCAAAAATAAAAAAATAGCAAAAAATGAAAAATAACCTTCAGCTAGAGGGAAAAAAAAGTTGGAAAAACCAAAATCAAACTTACATCTTTAACCGAAACAAGTTTGGAAGCCCACCGGAACATCGACGCTGGTGCTATATGTTACAGATTTCCTCCTGTTTGCGGAAAAAGGCAGATGATGTTAGGCAAATCACGGTCCAAGTGAAGCATGCAAGGACAAGACAGACTACCATGACCGCCAATATTTTGCCCCACTCAAAGCAGTACCCCGTGCCCCATTTTGCCAGAACTATCAATGAGCGCCAAAAATTTGCATGGCTATCCTACACTGAAGGAGAAATTATGTCAGGCACTAAAAAAACTAGTGCTGAATATACACAGCACAGTAAAAAATAAAAACCTTCAAAAAACAATGGGGCCCGCTTAGAGTGTAAATCTCCATGGTTTCACAGGTCGTCAGATAAACAGTAGGTCATAAAGGGTCAAAATGCGGGGAAACTTTAAAAAACAAAATCACAAAAGCCAAAAAAAAAAAATCGAAAGAAAAGACAGGACTTGTAAGCAGCTTAGAATTCGTATATATGAGTAACAGCAACGAAAAATC